TTTTTTTTTTTTTGTTCTCACTACCCTCTCTTTTTCTTTGAGGTGACCTGGTCAGGTGTTGCCACGTGCAACAATGAGCAGTGCTGACAAGGACCTGGTTTTCTAATCAGCCTCATAAGGAAAACCCACACTAACTGAGAGGGAAGGGAGATGTTTTGGGTTTTGTTTGGATTTGGAGTATTGTTTAGCTTCAGTTTGTTGAAGTTAATTGTACTTTTTTTCTTCTAGATGTTTAATTTAGCTGATTGCTTCTCAAACAGAAAATGTAAATGTTATCAAAGTTTCCAACCCTTTTGTTAGAGATAGTAAAGGCTGATGTTTCAGAAAGCTGGGTTGCTTAAATGTGGTGTGTCTTTTTTTCTTGGTGCTTCTGCTGTGATTGAAGAAAGTGGAACCCATGCCCCTCTGCTTTGAAATGTGAGAAGTTTTTTTTGCAAATATATCTAAAAAACAGAGCTCTACAATCTTTGGATCCAGTCTGATTTTATTCTTTTGGTGCGTTTTCCATGCTTCACTGGCCACAAGGTTTAAGTCCACAAGCTTTCTGCCTGTCTACAAACCTTACAGTTACTAAAGCTGAAAAAAGATTACACTAGATTACACTAATTCATATTTTTTACAATGCATATGTCCAATCTTTTTTTAAATAAGGTTTCTAATTATGTGAAAACAATATATGAGGAAGATCTTACATTTAAACTTTACTGATATATATGTGTGTGTAGTTCATTTACATTTCTCACCATTTTTAGCTGTAAAGGGACATACTTTTGAAATTGTTTCGAACCAAAACACAGTTCATTTGCATGTAACATACCATTGGAAAAACCTGAATAACCTCCCTGTCAGGCTCATACACCCAACTTCACCTCTCTTCTGCCAGAAGACACAACCTTGACTTAATTAGCTCAGAGGTTTCGCAGTCTTTGTACTGAGAAGGTGGAGTCCTCCATTGTACCTTATGCACTGGCTGTACACCTGGCTGATAAGGTCAAGCGGTTCTCTCACAGAACAGTGACTGGTGTTTTTGTCTACCTTCTACAACATGCAGAGTTTCGGCTGCTTGCTGGTCTATATCACATGTGTGTGTTAACCAGTGTTGCACCGATACCCATACCAGTATCGGACAGGGCCCCGATCCAGAAATAAAATGGTGGTATAGGTACCGGCGAGTATCGACAAATAAGGCACCGATACCATTTTGAGAGCTATTGTCACCCATTCCAGGTAGGCAATAAAAAGTTCTACTGGATTCACTTTGTATTAGTCTTTTTCCTGTTTCACAAAGGTAGGCAGCAGCTTGACAAAGCCATGATGGCAATTATTTTACATCCAAGTAGTATGCGGTTCTTCATATATATACACACACATCAATTTCAAACAGATGGTATCGGTATTGGCCAACACTAAACAGCCAGGTGTTGGGTATCGATATCGGGGCCAAAAAATGGCATGGGCACAACACAATACCAAAATGAGCTTTAAAAGGCAGCTGCTGCCATCTTTCATTTTAGGAAGTGTTTCAAGGGCAAGAATCCACTACAATCAGCATCAAGCACGATGGTGGGGTTTAATGATCTAGGTTTATTCTAATGCCACAGAATCTCTCTTTGAGCTTCATTGTACTTACATTCAGCTTTTGACTGACTTTTGGTCTCTTTTTCAAAAGGTTTTTTTGGTTTACTTTCGTCCAGACTTACTCCTGTTACTGGTTTATTACTTTATTTTTTTTTCCAATAAAAACAGAAAAGAATGGAATGCAAATTGAAAGCAACCAAACTTTCTACACCTATCCAGGCAATTTGAAGTTAAATTGCTTAATGTTTAAACAACACGGATGGCCAGCCTACTTATCTCATTCTAAGTCAGATTCAAATCAAATACCCAGCCATCATTCTCCAGGGTTGCTGATGTATTTTGTTGTGTCCCACTTAGGTGTTTGGTCATTTAACTCATAACTGTATTCTCTTCACTCATTCCAAAGAAATTACACATCATAATTCAAATTGCCAAAAACATAACAGACTTCAACAACCCAGAAGAACCACAGGAGGGTCTTTGATTTGCATTTGACTTGGAATGAGCTTGGAGGGATGGACCTCTGTGTTACTAAAAGGATCAGCATTCCAACTACAGCTGGCTTTAGTGTAAACTGACAGAATTGACAAAGACTCCTGGAAAAGAGTCGAAATGTCTTCAGAAAAACTCAGTGCACCTCCGTTTGCCACCGATTTAAATCTGTTTAGTAGTTTCCGTATCTGACCGAGAATTTACCCAGGTCTGTTTACTTTGTTCTGACTTCTGGCTTCATTTTGGGCTTTGTTTTATTATGAAAGTACAGCTGTCTGACAGCTAAAGCTGGTCCAGATCTGGGTCATTAACAGAACAGTGACAGCATCAAAGGGTGGCACTGGTCCAGTCAATGTTAGGACCTCAAATACCTCCACTGATAAAGTCAGATGGAATGATAACAAATGATGAAATACTGTGGATCCTAAAACAACCAGGCCGGTTCATGAAAAAACTTAACCCAGCTAAAGATAGATACTTTTATGCCCCAATGCAGCAGTTTATTGATTAGTCTGATTGTATTGGGGCGGAACTGAGGTCCAGGAAGAGAAAAATTGAAACCAGGAATTATTTTTCTTCTTAACAGGGTCCATACTGACCAAATCCAACACTGAATGAAAAAAACTCTAATTAACAGTCATTTATGATGATTGTCATGTGAAGTATTCTTGTTTCCTTGACAGTTTAACAAGAAAACCCAGATGTCTGTCTAAGATGGGCTTCAGCCCAGCTGTACGCTCTGCCGATTAACAACCGTTGGCGTTTTGAATGCAAACCTAGGCACAAATCTAAGGTGATTTGGTTTGAGAGGAATATATGTTTCTTGACCAGTTTCTGTGAGAGCAAAATAAAGGTCTGCTGTTGGCAGTGGCAGGAGAGAGAGCTGCTGCCGCCTTGTCGTTCCGGCAGACCATTGCGACGCTTCTCTGCAGCGCCGGAAGAGAAGGTCAGGTTTCTAAATGTCACGGGCGTGATTGTTCCAGACGGAATAATTGGAGAAAAGACGCTCCGATCCTCCACCAGCCTGCACTTCCCTTCCCCCCAATTCATCCCGTCAGAGCATCTGATGGAGGAGGGGAAGGATATGGAAATTACTACTACTACTACTTGTGTTGAGATTCTCCTCTAAAATCTGATTATCAACTAAAATGAAAGGGATCACAAAAGCTGTTCTATCCAAACTAGTCAATGAAACCTGAGTGATCTGCAGATAAAACATCTTTTTCTTTTTTTGACCCAAAACCTTTAAGTGTCTGCAAGAAAATCAAAGTTATATCAACAAAGAATGACTTCAGCAGAACAGAAATCGAGTTTTAATAAGGCCTCGTGAGAGTCCACAGATAAATCTGACAGAAAACCTGTTGAGTGACTTTAATATGGGAAATCTGACACAGCTGCCCTTTATTTGTTAGAATAAAACAAACATGGTGAGGAAAACGGAGCCTGTACTTACCATCGTAGTATACGATGGCCCCTACCAGCTTGTCCTTCTTCAGCATTGGGAAATGTTCCAAGGCTTTGGACTTGGTCAGGACGTAGCTACTCTTCAAGCAGTAGATCCCAGCCACCAAGTCATACATCTTTATTCCTGCCCAGTAGTAAGGCAACTGCCACCATCTGTAATTAAGACCGCATATACGTATGAAGACCAAAGGCGTGAAGAAGTGTTTTTTTTGTTTATTTTTGAGGGGTTTAGATTCTTACTTGTAAACAGGAAGCATTATGGGTAACGGTGCTGACAGGTGAGGGGCAATCTCCAGCAGATTTGCTCTCTCATGCAAAGCCTCTTTCACCATCATGTACTAAGACCACCGTAAATAACAGGCAAGGTGAGACGACGTTTGAAAAAGGAGCTGCAAATCCAGAGGGAAGGGGAACGGGAACTAACCTGTTCATAGTCCAGCTGCATGATGGCCTTCTGGAGGTAACGAACTCCACCGTGGATGAGCTTTGTACTCCGGCTGCTTGTCCCAGAAGAGAAATCGCTTCTTTCTACTAGAGCGGTTTTGAGGTCTGAGGAAGAAATGACACCAGGGTGTAAGAGAATACTTCGTCAAAAGCTGGATTTCATACATTTGAGCCAACCAGTAGAGGCAGTTGTGGGCTTACTGCGGGTGACGGCATCTAAGGCACATCCGGCGCCTGTGGCCCCCCCTCCTACAACCAGAACATCAAACTCTGGAGTGTCTCGCAGAGTTGCAAGCTGGGTCTCCCTAGAAGGAAGCTCGTCTGCGAAAGGGACCTTCAGCTCTGCCTCAGCTGCCACGTGAGCCAATCGAGCCTGGAAACAACATATGGAAGTTAATGAATACAACCATTGTGATGGCTTTCGTCTCTTAAACCGAATCTGTATTGCATAGACAGGGCAGATGAAGGTAAGAAGGCAGAGCAACACTTTGCCTGAGAAGCTCTGAAACATTATAAGCACGCTGTAGGTCCTTTATTCTGGCATCATAATTAGTCAGTGAACTAACATCTGATGTAGCACATATTTTGGTTGGGTTATATCTCTTTAGTCAGTGAGTTCTTAACTTTAACATTTTTTCTCCTTAGTGAGTGGGAAAAGTTTGTAAACCTTCAATTTTAGTATCAGAATGCGAGTCCTTACAGTGGATCTATTATTTGGCAGTGGATTTGACAGACTTGCAGTCTTTTAAGGTTGGATGCAAACTCCAGGTCCTCTTGGGTTGAAGACAATGAATTTACCCCACAATGCCATATGGGGATGATGCCATATTGGGGTGATGGCACATGGAGACAATGCCACGTGGGGACATTGGTTGTGGCTCAAACTAAATATGTTTTGGATGTCTGGATGACTAATAAAGATCAGGTTTAGGAAATTCTCATCCTCGCGGTGGATCGTCAACTGCAGAATGTTGGAGAGTTCCTTCTCATTCTTTCTCTCAAGGTTATCAAGAGCTTTCTCTATAGTTATGCTGCTATAGGCTTGGACTGCTGCAAGAAATGACCCATTTTCATTGTTCTGCTTCATTCTACCTTTATTCCCTCATTTTGCAGTATTTGTTAGCTGAACCTCTAACTTCATGTCCTTTCTGCTTTTTCTCTTCATGTTAGCTTCATCCGGTGCATTCCAGTTTGGCTGTGACTCCATTATTGAGGGAGATATAAGCTGTGCTACTACCTTTGTTTATAGATGTTGGAGTTTGACCTGTTTTTCAGTGTAGTCCTGTTTCTCTGTGACCAACTGTAAGTCCTCTCTTCATCCTCTGACACGGGATCTAGCTCGAAACTCGTCTGCCTGGCTGTGTGTTTCCTGGACGGGGCCACCTGTGGAGCTGGCGGTTACCTTTTGTATCTCTGCTTCTGTCTCCTTTAACCCCAGTCAGCCTCGGCAGATGGCCGCTCACACTTAGCCTGGTTCTGCTGGAGGTTTCTTCCTATTAAAAGGGAGTTTTCCTCTCCACTGTCGTTACAAGCATGCTTCGTGTGAGGGATTGCCTTTGAGTCAATGCAATCAGCTGGTTTTCCTTAGATAGAAAACTTTGAACCAATCTGACTGGATGATCTCAGTGAATTGACTCTGTAAAATGCCTTGAGAAGACATGTTTTGAAATGGCGGTATATAAATTAACTGAATTACACAGGACGTTTTACTCTTTTTCTTTACAATCCAAGTCGGGTTGTGGACTAACACATATTTAATTGTTCCAAAGTAAAAGCAAAAGTAAAAGCCCATACCATGATACCCCCACCACCACAGTGGATCACATGGACGCTTTTGAGTTAATATAAAGCAACAATCCAGAAAACGTCCATTGATTGTAATCTATTCCCCCAGTTAGACAACATAAACGAAAGGAAAATCCTGCCCATGTCATGATACCACCACCATCATGTTGCCAAGGTTGGACACACAGCTTTAATTTATATTCTTTGCTAGAAATCCTATTTTTGATTTTATCTTGTTTGCCTACAAAACGTGGAATAATTAGTCTTTCCTAAAGTAATGACGAGCTTCTACTGCCCACAGAACACCGGACCCTATCCTTATCCTTGTGGAACTGCTTATGGGGAAGTTTATTTGTCTGGTTAATGTTTGTCTTGTTTAGTGAACAACATGTAAGGACATGTATGGTGTGTTTGGGAAAACTGCACCAGGATTAACACCAATCAGAACTAACAGAGCTGACTTGTTAAACTCGTCCAGAACACTTTGTTTGATGATGGATAAAATCTTGACCCACATAGCTATAAACAAGACAGAGTCTAATTTGGGTCCTTTATGGAAACAATAAAGGTTCTATTTGGGTCACGAACTTTAGTATGAGCAGATACATACTGAAGTTTTCATCTGAATGTGAATCAACCAGCTTCTCCAAGTCTGCTAACTTAGCCAAAAAGTTGCAGAATCCTTGAGTATTGCTCACTAGTGATGGACAGAAGAAGTTGGAGATGGATGGTTGCATGTGGACGGGCTCAGACCTCATGGAGAAACATAAAAGTTCAGTGTAGAGACACAGACTCGGACAGTCAGTTAAGATGGATAAAAGTATCTTAGTCAGGGTGTTTCATGTATGCCTTTCTTTGAGGCTCATGGAGAATGTTTCATTAATGGATGGACGGACGGACGGACCAATGGATGGAGATCTGTCCGTCTAAGTCACTGTGCCTTTGGGCAGGACATCCTTCCTCTTCTTCCTGCTGCTGTTGGTAACAAGGCCTGTAGTGTAAGGAAGCTTTGGCTCCGCCAGTCTGTCCCAGGTTGAACAATGGAGCTGTGGCTACCCTAGAGCTCAGTACCATCAGTGTCTGAATGACTCAACATAGTGTGGAGAGCTTTGGAGACTTTGGTATTCTTAAAGTGCTTTATAAGTTGTTGGAGGTTCACATCCAACAGACTTATTCCTCTAAAAGCAAACACTCAGGTTTATAAGGTCAGAACAGATTATAGCTGACCGACTACAGCTGATTTCACCCTGCAATTATCAGCTTATACCAGGTATACAAATACAATAAATGAAACAATCTATAATAATAACAAGAAAAGATAAGGTGTACCTTAGGAATATGTGTTTCTGAGCAGCTATATTGGTTAAAAAGAAGCCTATCTGTGCTTATAATGATATTTAGTAAGCGAGTGAAAGTGCTGCCGAAGAAAAGCCCGACACATTTAGGGACACGTTAGTGGGAAAGAAAAGTTAGAAAAGTGCAGAGGGGTTACGTCGTGGCTGCTACACCATGCCGCTCACCAACGTTTGATTAGAAGGGTAATTAATTTAAAGGAATAATCACAGCTACAGTAGAAGAATTTCACCTCTAATGAAATATTTATTCAGCTTTCTACTCAGCAGCTTGCGCTAAATGATTGCATCAAGCTGCTTTGAGGCCACCGGCGCCATTTGCAAGTCAAATGGCGGCGGGCGTTTGTAATTTAGGTTTTGTCTATGATATAATCATTGTCTCTTTTTTTTCCACTGATGCTCGGTCACACAATGAAGCGCCGGTAATCAGGTTAAGTCAGAGGACGGCGGGGCGAAGCTAATAGCCAATCGGACCGCTTTGAAAACTTCCCTCAGCCACATGCCCCGACTGAAGGAGACAAGACGGACATTCAGCTCATCAGCAGTGCAATTGCAGGGATTAGAAGGCATGCATGATTACAAACTATTCATGAAAAAATAAATAAATAGAAATCATCGGATGTCATCAGGGGGGACTTCTTGCTTACCAATCCGGGCTTGTTGGAGAGGACGGCGATGGCAGAGTTGAGGACATTATCCCACCGGGACACAAAACACAAAGTTCAGGTTAGGTTGGAGGAGACCAATAAAGTCTGAAGTTATGTCTCACATCTAAAATAAGAGGAGCAAACAGCTGCTTGAAGTCTGGCCGTGGGGGTTATTTTTGTCCAAGAGTAGACGATGTGTGCGAGGATCATTAGACGACTTCTAAACATCGCAACTAGAACCTTCACACGACCTTTAATGCATATTTTAGTTTTTACTAATTAAATGACTGCATGAAAAAGGAAAATCTCCTTAAACTGGGAAGCATCTCTTCAGGTTTCACATCTTGTAGTAGTTTTCTTTTTGGATTTAGGTTACGGCTTTGACTAGGCCATTCTAATTCTTCCATAACGTTCAGACCGAATGTAATTAGAGGTGCATCTGGTCTAAGTGCGGTTTATAGCTGATATCGTGAGGTTTAATCTTCTGTCGAGGCATTTCACCCTCCAGGCGTTGTGTGCTGAAACGGCGGGAGATTGAAAACCAGAAGTTTAGAAAGTTGAATGCGTAGCTGATGTCTTGGAATGTGATTGGGGCGCCAACGCAGGTCAGCAGGTCATCAAATTGGGTCCGAAGGAGAGAAAAATAAGATCCTGAAGGAAAAATGGAATTCACTAAACTCTGAACGTCTCTGAATTATCTGGGAATCCTGAGAGATCAGAAGCACCCGAGGACTACGGAGTAAATTTGGTTCCATTATTGTTACAAGCAATAAACACATTTTGTGAATGGAAATTAAAGAAAAAAAAATCAATCAAGAAAGCAAACTATATATAAAAAAGTTATATATCAAAAATAAAGATTTTGAGAGTAACTTTCGCTGTTTTGAAACTTTATCGTTACGAATTTCTCTTTGAATTGTTTCAGAATTCTCCTCACATTTGGGGGTGGGTTTTCCTCAGAAGTGAGGAGTGAAGATGCATTTCTATTAGTCTTCATGAACGTTGGTAGGAACATCTTTTATAAGTCAAAAGCGAGTGTTTTTTTTTTTACTGGGCTTCAAATAAACAGAATGTGAAACACAATTTTAAAAGAATGCAATTCATAAAATATAAACAGAAAAGCAAAAATTTGAAAAAAATTTGAAAAACTAAAAAGTGAAAAGATAGATTCTTATCTCAAAACCTTTGTTTAAATAAGAAGTTCATTTATTTTATGGATTGGAATTTCTTTTTATATTTTTATATATATTATTCAAAATTCCATTTACAAAACTCATTGCAACAATATTGGAACAAAATTTACTCCATAAAACCTGTATCAGCAAGAAGTGAAGAGTCTTCTCTGTAAAACGCAATTTAAAAAGAAAGTCCTAAACTCAATCCGAAAAACAGAAATTACAAAAAATAATCTACATTTGTAACTACATTTTAAGAGTTTTTATAAGTTATATAAAAACAAAAGTATTTTCTTTTGAAAAAACAAAAACAGCAAAGTTACTCTCAAAACCCTTTTTAATAAGAAACTATTCAGTTTCAGTTCTGGATTACATTGTTTTCCAGTTTCTGTTTCCAAAGCCGGCTCTCTGCAACAATGATGGAAGTAAATTGACTCCGTAGTAATCCAACTGGGCCTTGGAAAGACGAAAATGACGCAGGAAACGACCCTTGTTTGCTAACAGCTCCGGGAGAAAACGTAGAATGGACTAAAGTCTAAAAGTCTCTCAGCTACGGGTGAATCCAGACCACCTTCTCCTGCAAAACAAAGCTAACCCTCTCGCTGTATTGCCTCCACCATTGATCAAGGAAAACAAACAGGGTGGCTCCTAAAAAGTCCACAAACATCCAGTTTTCTGTCTAAACACATTCAGTCTGAAGGAAACATCAGGTATTCATTGATTTAAATCAGGGATGACAAATACTAGACTTCGAGTGTCAACTCTGAAGTCTAAAATTTTTATATATATTCCCGGTCCAACACACTGGAATTCCCTCCTCTGTATGCAGCCCTGTTCTCCAGAGACCTGCTAAAGACATGGCTAGCAGAGATTAATCTGAGAGGATCAGGACAGGGACCCTAGTTTTTAGGTTTAAAGATTAAAATCCTGTCAGAAATACTCAGGAGTTTTAGATTCCAAATGCAATGAAACGTGAAAAAAGTTCCACTGATATAAAGACTACAGCAGTTTAAGCTTGTTGTTAACAAAACAACTGGACTCTGTTTACACAGCGCAAGTATTCCCTGTTATTAACATCAGCCTATTTAAAAACAAATAAAAAAAAGAAAGATTTGGGGAAATTACTAATAATTTCCACTTTGAAGAGCAGTAAGAATTTTAATGTTAGGGGTAAAACCTTTCCAGAACTCTTCTAACACTGAAAGAGAGGAGATTAATACTCAAATGAACTGGATCCAGTTAGTTGACCTTTACTTTGAAAGGCTCAACAGGGAGGGTTTACACCCTGAACCCGGAGTGTGCTCTGTACATCTGCAGAGGAAATTCCCAAAACAAAGCGACACACCTAGAACCAGAGAACATTCCATCATCCAGACTGGACTTGCCCTCCCAGCTTAGGGGCTCCTTTATAGAGGGAGAACATTCCTCCCTAAGGTGAGCTCACCTGGGTCCTCCTGTACTCCAAGAACTGTGACAGGCCGAAGCCCGCAGCCACCACCCCGCCTCCTACCACCGCCGTCCGTCTCAGGGCCTTCCTGAACGCCATGAGCCCTGTGGTGGAAGATGACAGGCGGGGAAAGAGTTAGACTTTTCATGTTTTTTTTTTTTCATAACGGCAAACCTCAGTGGACCTCTGGGACGCAGGATTGATCGGGGCGGGGGTAGGTTTGAGATGATTTGCATACTACTGTAGAGCGGCTGGGATGTATGTGTCCAGGGAACGCCACACATCAAGGCAGATTCTCATGCATCCTAATAAACGCAACCAAATGTCAGGGAGCAGTTTGGGCGAAACTCATCACTACTGTGCTTATCCACAGTGTGGCTATTTTTCATCTGACTTTTCACCAAGAAAAAAGAAAGTTACAATATGTTCCATATTTAAGGCCCAGTAAACTGATTATTAAGCAAAAGACCCATCTTCATACACCTTTATTATAACAGTTTAGGTATAGAAAATCAGATCAACCGATTCAGATTTTCAAGGCCGATACCGACCATTCCTCGATATTGGCTGCCGAATTTTGGGTGGAGCATGATGGGGCTTTTTCTTCCTCCATTTATGACAAAAATAAAACAATTATTAATAGCAAATCAAACAAAGGGGAGAGGTAATGCTTGCACCTTACATGATCTCATCATGGCTGTTAAAGGAACGAAAAAATCGAGAGCATATGCACTATCGGCTACCGATTCAAGAAGAACAACACGAATATCAGCCGAATATATCATCTGTATGTATCCGTCTATCTCTAATCTAAACTAACTCCCATTAGAAAATCACATGGCATTCCCCAAGGGTCCATCTTTGGTCCCCTCAAAATCTACATCCTCCCTCTATGCAGACGACACACAGCTGTACATTTAAATGTCACCAGGTGACTATGACCCCATTCCAGCATTCGGTAAATACATAAGAAAAGAATTTATGCATGAATATCATATTATAACGTAGCATTTATCTATTTAACAAACCAGAAAGCGCACTTTACTGTGCATAAGATACTGTATATATAAGTCAACTTAAATCTCTTTTTTTTACATCCACTGTATATATCTGGGTGCATTGTATGTACTTAATGCACCTTTTCCTCCTTTGGCCATCTTATGTTGTTTATAAGAGTCAATGTCACAAGTGAATTTTTCCATTGTAAGATCAATAAAGTTAAATTCTACTGTGTAAAACCAAAATCACCCACTAATTTTTCATTAAAGGGTCAATATAACTACTCATAATGTAACAATCGGTACATGAGCCCAGCTATGTAAACAAATAGGCGCCTCCCTGTGGAAAAGTACACCAGAGATGATCGTATTCCAGCTGATAACGGGCTATTAACCATCCCTCAGTGGTGAAGGGAGAATCTCCAGTTTCCGGAAACAACCATAAGTGCAGTTTCATCCTCTGGGATGCTTGGTAAAACTGGATGGCATCCAAGAAAAACACCTTTCTACTTCATATCTTACGAAAAGCGTTCAACATCACCGTCTTCAATCCCCATGTTTTATTTAAATAAAACTATAAAACACAGTAGAGGTAAATTACAACAGTAGTGTTTCACCAAGCTATGCGCATCAAATGGTGATGCACAGCAGCAGCAGTGGCAGCATCATGCTATGGGGATCTTTTTTCATCAGAGGAAGGGAATTGAAGTGTGTAGTTGGGAAGAAAAATGTAGCTATAAATAGGTTGTGTTTGCTCTAATTATTAGTCAGCAGAGGAGGGGGAGTCCCTGTTTTTTACAGTTATTTAAGGTAAAACGAACTTCATGTAGTTTTCACCACATTTAGAGGGAGAACCAGTGTTTTTAAAAGTTGTTAAGGAGCTACATGTGTGTTATTGACTCTAACTGGTTCATTATAGTTTCAGCAAACAATCGGCATTGTTTCTAATGGCCACACATGAGGAAGTTGTTAAACTATAACCTCGTTGCAGAGGATTACGCCATGAACCCAGGCTAGGTTATATTTCAAGGGGAACCAACTATAATTCTTCATATTATGGCTATCATACATTTAAAAAACAATCAATAGATCGGAGGAATACACCGTTAAAATACCAGATCAAGTCACAAAGCTCCGTAGCTCTGAAAAAAAAAAAAACAAGATATATATATATATATATATAAATAGAGAGAGAGAGAGAGAAAGAAAAAAAAAAAAAACAAGATAGGAGGCATAGCTCCAATTTTCTGTCTACGATCCAAAATGTCTCATCATAAAACTCCGGGGAAACCCAACAGATAGGGCACACTTACAGGATTTCTTGTGTTCTGGCTGAAAATTGACTCCCTCGGGGTGATGCAAAAGACGACAGGACACCAAACTGTCGCCTGGACTGTCAGGCTCCAACCCAGGAAGCTCCGCTCTACGTGCCTCCAGCGACGTCCCGTTACAACCAATCAACGCGCAGCGCTTGCAGGAGCCCTCCAATGAGATTAACCGGGAGGCGGGACCACGCTGGTGACGTAAGGAGAGGGAAAGAATGCGTAACTCGGATCTTCCTATTGGATAATGAGGAAGAGATGAGACGAGGCGCCAGCTGTCGCTTTCTCTGATTTTCACTGCAGGAAGTGGGAGGGGGCTAGGAACCCACCATCCAACTACTTGAAATGTTTTTTTTTAGTGGTTTGAGAACTTGTAAATGTTGTCAAATCTCTTTATTTGGTGGCCAAATATGTAACCGTTACTTTTAGCAAACAGGGGCGGAGCTAGATGGGGGGCTATGGTCACCCCTGGCCACCCTTAACCAATCATTCATCAGGAAGTGACGTGGCTCAGTCCACTTCCTATAAGTGTAGGGGCCTGGAGAGGCATTTTGGGTTTGGGGCCTATGTTTTTTACCAGAGCAAGAGAGGTAGGACAAACGAAGAGTATGAACTCAATTGTTGGCTGAAATAGAAAATAAAGCATCCAAAACCATCATCAAGACTGGACATTGAAACTTCTTTTTGCCTGCATATAGAAACTTAATTGGAACTTTACTTGTATGTTTGGCTTGGCAAACAATAACCTCTACACCTAATATTTAAAATAATATGAAAACAAAAAGATTTATCTAATTTAACCATTGTAGTACTTTATCACTTATTTATAACTTACTTACTAATGACTTAATTCTCCATTTTGTCATTGCGAGTTGATTTTTTTCAGGCAAGGATTAAAGTCCATCTGTTTTTCTATCTATTTGTCCATCCCTCCATACCCAGAGGCGTAACCAGAACATTTTTATAAGGGGGGCCAGGTAATAACCAATGTGCACTGAGCGGGGGCCAAAATCGGATAGGTACCAGAACCTCAGGGTCAATCTACCCTGGTTCAACAGGAAAATTACCCAGCAAAAGATCAATGTTTTCTAAATAAAGACAAACTATACTTTCCTACAGCCTTTGCTAACAAATAGACACATATATTTAAACATCCGTAATTTCTACAGTAAATAAAAGGTATAGTGAATAAAACTCTTTAAATTTTTTGTTCTGGGGCGTAAATCTTTTCCATTGTTATTACTTACCTACTTGTATCAATACACATTCTGCATAAAATTGACATTTACAAGCACTAATATCTACATAAATTGATTATTTGATCAGTTTTTATTTTATTAAAATTGTTGTTTATCTATAATTTCACTGAATACTTTTCTCTTTACCCCATATAACACAACATCTAGTTCTGAAAAGAGCATTAATTATCATCTTTGACGTTAGTATATTGTGTATAATTAACAACAAATAATTTAAATGTTTTGAATATTCCACTTGTTTTAGAGGGGGAAAATGGTAGGGGTGGCCAATGAATGGCTGAGTGTGGCCATGGCCACCCATGGCCCCCCTTCTAGCTCCGCCCCTGATTAAGGTATGGACCATATCTTAATCATTCTAGTCAGATACTTTAGATCAGAGCAAGATATTCAAGACAAGGAACCTTATAAACATGAAACAAGAGCTGCAATAAAACCAAATTTATATGTTACAAATATGGCGGGTGGTTAGTGCCACAATGGACTAAATGAATAACTTCTGAAATCATAATATATGTGCGATTGAATAAATGGCTATGGAAATATTTACAACTTTTTTCAGTGAAAATGTTGACTTTAGACTAAAAGAAAACAAGGGAGAAGGTGTCTTTTGTTTGAGCTGTATAAAGCAGCCAATCAGATATCAGGGTTTCTATGGTAGCAGCTCTAGTCCTTGTCATTCATGGATGTCTGACAGATTAGTTTCTTAAGATAAAATCAATATCTTTATTGATTTAATTTAGGCCCATATTATTTATTATATTATGTATTAAATATATTTTGTCTTTACTTAATAAATTACATCTTTAAATAATTATTTCATAAGTTCTTTATTTATTGTGTTTTGGCGCTTGTCACAGAGTAACACTGTCTCTGTGTTACTCTAAAAAAAATAATAATAATGCAGAGCTTTATTGATAAAGCATAAAATTTGAATGTTGTTGTAAATGTTATTAAATGACATGGAAACCAAACCTAAACTATTTACAATTTAAAATTGACAGTTTTGTTTTCAGCTACCAGGTCTTTTTTTTTTTTTTTTTACTTATTTCTCTAGAATTTTTTTTTTTTTTTTTTACTTATTTCTCTAGAAGTTTGTGCTTCAAACTATGAGGAAAATATGTGAACCTTCATTTGCTGTCCAACCACACTTAATAAGATGAGGGAATGAAAATGAAG